ATGTTTCCACTTACCAGGGTTCCATTTTGGTACCAGTTTTTCGAGCCATACCCATATAGACATGCTTATAGTCACCCCTCCTTTCCCAGGCCTTTCACTACTCTTGTTGGAAAGTGTCATGTCCTTTGCACGTCTTTCTTCCATCTGAAGGCACTGCCTTGCACAGTGTGTTTGTTGTATATGTATATATATGACACACATATATATATATATATATTATAAATATAAACGTGCGCACAATACACAAGCACGCACACAGAATCAGAATGCGGAAGGCACAAAAAGTTGTTTGAGGCGAGTCGTCATCAGACCAGTTCTTGCTGGCCATGGCAAAGAGAGGCGCGGGATTCGAGCGAGCCAATTGAGCCCCAGTTGCGTGAAATAGCCAGAAGTTCAGAAGCTTTTCTGGGTCAACGGGTAAGCCATACAAGATCCTCAAAAGACATGAGTGACCCCAGACTTCTATTTACATAAGTCCTTTATATAATGGACAAAAGGGGAGAGTTATCTCTGGACTTCCATCAACGACGCAAAGGTTTTGGCTGAAGGTTACGTTTCTAGGGCTCCATGATATCAGCGCCCGATTTTCTTTTGAGCTCAATCAATGACCCTGCTACAACCACAATTTGGGGGAATTTAGGGGTGTCTTTTTGTAGGGGACCCCCCAAAATGGTGGGTTTCCTCTTGGTTTTACAGTCAAAACCACCAAAACAAAAGGGAGTACTCTCAGCAAAAAACATCCATTTTGCCTCATCATCCTTCTACGCTCTAGGACTGCACGTCCCAGCTTCATCTGTAGTTTTGGCCAGGCGACAAAGCACTGGCGAGAACTGCACGCGCTGATGCGGCAGCCTGTGCTGCGCAAGCGGCCGAAGCGCCCGAAGTGCCGACGTGAGACAAAAGGTTTCGGCGTCGCGCTGAGGGTATTCAGAAAGTCTACTTTCGAAGCTTTGCTTCTTCCAGGTTGAGGGCACCACGTTTCGGGTGGGTTTGGGTTGCCCATTTTGGCATGGGTCCAACTTTTCCGGCAGGAATTGGACCGCAGGTTTTAGTCCATGTTTCCATCCGGAGCAAGCCAGTTTGGGGTTACCCGGTTTTTGACCACGACACCCAAGTCAAAAGGACGTGGGCCCTTTTTGTAAGGCCGGCGAGGCGCGTGTGCACATGAGACAAAGTAGGGGCACCCCATGGGTGGTGTCCTTTCGGCAACCCCACAATGGGACCCTCGACAACAGATCCCAATCAACATGACGGCTGGAAGCCCAGACGTTGTACACAAACGCATATACGGCAGCAAATCAGGCGTATGCCAGCACTTTGCAAGGTCTTTCCTGGAAATATTGGATGAAACATGGAAGTGACATAGACGTGGTAGACGTTTGCTAGGAATGCTTGAGACACAAGCTAGATGCATAAGATGTTGAGCCTTGTGTTCACTTGTTGCACGACTGGGCCTATGCCAGCTTTCTATTTGAAGAAGTGCTTTGTGCATGACTCAAACGCATGCTGGATATGTGCTAGTATGTTAGACACATGGCATACATAACCTGGAGATGCAGTAGATTTGTGCCAGCCGATTTTCGCGATTCTCAGACACACTCGCACATGCCGTAAACTCACTAGAAGGTGAGTGTCCAAACCAATGAAGCGCTGTTGCTGTAAGAGGTGTGAGACATGTTTTATTGCTAATCAGTATGTAGATCATGAATTGTGAGACAGCAAGTGTCAAAAGGAATGGGCTGGATGTATAAGCAGCAAACGGTGTGTGTGTGTGGGTGTGGGTGTGGGTGTGGGTGTGGGTGTGTGTATATAAAAATATATGTGTGTGTGTGTGCGTTTGTGTGTGTGTGTGTGTGCGTGTGCCTCTGTGTGCGTGCGTGCGTGCGTGCGGCGTGCCGGGCGTGCGTGCGTTCGGGCGAGAGGCCGGGCGGGCGGGCGGGCGGGCAGGCGTGCGTGCGTGCGTGCGTGGGTGGGTGGGTGGGTGGGTGGGTGGGTGTATGTGTGTGTGTGTGTGCGCGTGTGCGGGTGCGTGTGTGCGTGTGTTTTGTTTTGCAATTGATTGTTTGGTTTGCGTTTGCGAATGACACGTATGACTCCTGATGATCCAGGTCAACTTGAAGTCATTGGTAGTCGCGCTAAATTGATCTATACGATGATTCACACAAATCAGGCAACGTTTCCAACAGCGATAGGATATGATTGTATGATGATTAGTTGCCAGATTGTATTTGTATGGATGTGTTGAATGCTGATGTCATATTTAACATGTATTTGGCTGCAGCGTTCGGGATTGAGTCTTGGAGGTCGTTTGCCTGTAGTTAAACCTGCAATTGATAAGCGTGCCATCCATCCACATGAGACATGATTGATCTGATCGACATTTTTCTCAATCAGCCAGTCAGCCGAGGTTGCCGTTCTTGGTGTTTTTCGTTCACAGTGGTTCTTTTTATCGGCCTGGGAACTGTGTTGTGATGTGCAGGCAAGCGTAGCTCGATCCATATGTGAAAGAATAGTGATGCGAGACCAGTTCTTCTGATCTACCAAATTGTGGTCAAGATATTCCAGGCCCGGCTGTGTCTCCCCGGACTGACCGCTGTTGCCAGTACCTGGAGCAATGCTTAGCGGCTGGGCTCTGTCCTGAACAGCAGTTGCCACCCTTGTTTTCGCTGCACCTGTCAACATGTAGAAGCATCAAGGCTCCTTGCATTCAATGAGATCTGGCCGGGATCTATGGTCTATCCTCTATGGTCTATCCCGCACACAATTCTTAGGTGGGTTATGGCATGCTGGAGCAATGGGTGCTTCAGATGCACAGCTAGCTGTAGGTGGAGTTGCGGCATGCTGGAGTGGTGGGTGCTTCACATGCCCTAAGTTTGTGACGCAGATGTGTCGCCTGTGACCCTCCCGGCTTGACGCTTTCCGCGGACTTGGCGGCACTGCGTCCCCGAAGCAGAAGATTGCGCACATGTCATGTTTGACGACTTGCGGTCATTTGGCAAAACTCCAACACCCGATTAACCCTGCAGCTGTAATTGGGTTCCCAATTCAAGATGCAGCTTTGTGTGAAAAGTCGTACTAGTTTGCTGAACTTGTGCTTGCCAGATTCCGGATGCAGGGCAGTGCAGTTATTTTGAGCCAACCGGCCATTGTTCTTCAGTG